ATCTAACAAAACATTGAGTTGAATCAAGTAAGAATCACTAGCCATCTTGTGTCTAACAGTAGACTGAGGGAAGCACTGCTCAGCGTTTGACATGTGACTTCTATTGTGTGACCATGTGAAAGCCACTCATCTCCTTGTATTGCATGTAACAGCTGAAACCAAGGCTAGAAAAAGACAATGACATGCTACAGGATAGCACACTTAGGGTGCTTAACAACAATTATTTTCAATAATTATCATTGAAAAAAAAAGAACACCAGGGTGGAAATATTTGTACATAAACAGAAACCTGTAAAATTTAACATGGGGGAGAACGGCCCACTAAAAGTACATGTATATCCAAATCAGCTGAGCAGACTAAAGAGTAAAGAGTAAAAAAATTGCATCCCCTTCAATCATAGCCAATAGTTTCTAAAGCTTTCCAAACAGTATGGCACAAACTATTCAGTTGATCTTCCAACCAGGTCCCAGTTGTTGAAAAGGTGGATAGCTCTATCCACCAAATAAATGGTTATCTTTATCCAGTGGATAGTGCAATATTGGTTTTCCTAATACGCATTCACCGGATAGAAATTTATCGGATGGATAGTGCTATCCAGCTTTTGAACAACTGGCGGCAGAATTTCTGTTTATCCCATGTAAATGGGAAGTACTCCCACTGTCTTATCTGACTCCATTCTTGTCTGATCCCCATGTCTCTGATCCCCTTGTCAGACAGGGAAAGAAAACTTCCTTGGAGTGCCCTGAAATTAATTGTCACCTGTTCATAACGGAGTACATGCATGTCTTTGTTTACACATACTTTAGGTGAGGTTAGAGGGAAAACCCCCAACACAGTATGGGCGAATATTATTTTGTACCACTGGAATCCTTCTAAGACGGATGCAGAATAATGCCCTCCTGCAAGGTACACGTATATGCAAAACTTAAAAGTCACCCACTTCTGGTGTGGATACCCATTTTTTTCTTCTTACCTTTGGCCTGGAGCACGCTACTGGTGTACACGGCTAAGAATCTCACATCGTTTGGCTCTTATGAACTTATTAAAACTCAGATCGCATCGATATTTGGCAAGAAGTTAAAGTTTATAAACAGCTTTTCATTGAGTATTTTTTTCCTGGCTGTAAGACCAAAATAAAATTGAAATATGAAAAATATGGCTCAAAATGGGACCATTTTTTAACAGCTCGCGTAACATTTACAGTCTAACCACGCATATTGTGGGATTTCTCTGTTTCTGTTAATGGTACTTTGGAAAAATTTCTCCGAAGAGGTCAGTGACTTATGAGTACTAACTGTATTAAAAATTACTGAACATAATGGCAAAACAACAAAGTTTAGGGCGTTTTCAGAAAGATGTTCTGTCTACATACGATCTCTGTGCAGCGCGAACGTCAATTTAAAAGATTGCTTTTCATTGACTTTCTGTTGTTGTTAAGAGAAGAAATAATAATTTTTGGAATGCTCATAAGTTAAATTTTCCTTATCGACTAACTGTTAAGAATTCGGGAAACCCATTTTTACGCTAAGATCAAATATGTAAGGTTAGACAGCATTTTTTTAACGTGAAAATTCGTAAACCGTGCGTTGGACCGAAAATCGGATTCTAGAGTGTGCTTTGGCATAAAGATTTTGTGCCTAGAATGTGCCTAAGATGTGCATAAATTGTGCATTTTAGTTTTGAAAAACGTGCCTAAGCCGTTTGTTGTGCCCAAACTGTGCCTAATCTGTGCACAAGTTGTGCCAAAATATTGAGTCACTCGGAAAATCGTGTCCAGCCTATCGAGCTCCATAGCGAACGAAAAGGGCGCACGGCAATTATGTCAGTTTTGAGGTTTACAAAGTCTAGAAACACGGTCTGACGACCTTTTTTTATCCCCTAATAAGAAATAACATGACTCAGAATACGGTTAGAGACAGCAGGGAAAGCCCGACAAACAGGAAAATGGAATCTTAAACAGGTTAGCGTATTTAAAGTAAGTGCTCAGCATGCAATTACATTGTTGATATTATGCTAATTTCATCGATGTTAAAAAATTTCCAAGTAGGTTTCTTCTGCCCTTCTTAATGGAGCGTTTAGTTGGAACGAAATATTTGTTTTTTTTTTCAGGAGGGCAGATTTGCATTCAAAAAAAGAATTTACTTGTGATGTGACTTATAAAATGAAAACGAAAAAAATTGATTGCACGCCGATGAGTTTTGATGAAATAAATGGCACGTCTCATCGATTATTATACGATCAAAGCTTAATTTGCTAACAGAGCCAGAAAACAAAAACAAACAAGCAGCTTGAATTATTTTACTACAGTGTAAATCCTACTTTTTAGTTAGAGAAATATTTTTAAAAACCAGCCGCATTTTGTATTTAAAAATAACACGCGCGTTGGCATGAAGGTTTCAAATTACCACTCTGTACTTTTCATGTTGTTATGCAAATTCAGGCCAATTTTACCGCGATCGCAAAAAAGTATTTTCTACGACTTTTATTGGCTATTTTTGTGCCTCACTTCTTTAGCTTTGTTTTTGTTATTATGGCTTCGACTTTCTTTCACGATTTCTTTTAGAAACGAAAGAAAGCGAGTCTATAAAATTGCATGGCAATCGAAAAGGTTCAGACCGGCATATATCGTGTGTGAATTTCCACTTTATCCTCGGAGTAAACACGGACTGTCGAAGAATACTTTAATTTTCCAGACTTTCGGCGCGGCTCAAAACTTACACTTCCTATACTTCTAACTGTATCGTGTTTGATCTGAATTATTTTTGTAATTCGTACCAAGTTTGTTCTTTTTTGCAAGTCGGGTTACAAAGATTTTCAAAAAAGTGCCCAGCGTTGAATATTTGTGCCCAAACCGTGCCTAAACTGTGCCAAAACTGTGCCCAAACTGTGCCTAAAGTGTGCCTAATCTGTGCCTTTGCATGTTTTTTTCCCGTGCTTTGGCACAAAAACCGTGCCTTTTCTTGAGCGCGAATCGTGCGTGAGGCACGGTGTTATGCTCGTGTACACCAGTAGCGTGCGCCAAGCCCTTTAAGATGTTGACATATTGAGCTTATTTGTTTTCCAAATGCAGTGTGCAATACATGTATGCAATATGAAATGCTCCACAGAAACTACTATCACTGTACTGCTAATAAACAAGAATATTGTTTTAACTAGTAATAACCAAAGGTTTCAGAGTGTAGGCAACAACAATAGAAGGTCAAAACGCTTTTGCTCCATTGCTGTGCTTTCCGCAAGGTTCATGTGATAGATGGTCAAAACATGTGTGATCAGATTTTGAGTGATCAAGGTGCAAATGTGAGTGATCAAATCGCATTCTGTGCTTTCCATTCATTCTTAGTGGAAGTCCAAATGAATGCTGGTTACATACATGCGACGCATGCGTATTAACAACCTGAAGATTAGGATTGTGGGCTCCTCTTTTTGCCTGCCATTAGTTCTATTTGTACATTATGCTTTTGCTTCCCTACTAAAATGCTCGACCTTAATGCTCCGTTTTTCCCACCAAAATGCTCGGTCTCCCCAAAAAAGTCACTAAAATGCTCGGATAATACTCATTATACAAACGGTTTTTTTAAATTTATTTCAAAGTTTACACTTACAAAAACGTGCAAGTGTTGCAAGCAACAATGACAACGTGTACAAGTTCATAAATACAGCCAAAAAATCCAGCTGTATTAGGTTTTTTGTGAATTTTGAGTTTTAGTCTTCATTTTGTTTAAAAAAGCAGGAGCTCATGGGGCATGGGCTCCCGAAAAAGGTTAATTTCTATTTTATTTTCTCGGAAAAATTAATTTTTCGGGGAAAATGCCACTAAAATGCTCGAATAATGCTCAATGCTTTTGCCTCACTAAAATGCTCGAAAAAATGCTAGCAGAATGTACAAAAGTCTACTTCTCACTGGAATTAACCCTTTAAGCCCCAATATAATAGTGACCAACATCAATTTTCTCAAAACAAGATCACTACATAATCAAAAGAAAAGGTGTCAAGAATTCACCGGATGATCACCAAAGAGAAAATGCTTTGATCTTTAAAAATATTCTGTCAACTTATTTTTAGGGGAATATAATTATGGAGATCAGTCTGGACAATTTGTTTGTTGATACTGGGGCTTAAGAGGTTAAGGCAACCTCCGTGGGGACAGGGGAGGAGAGAAGCCAGGGAACAAAGTTGGAATTCAAGGGTTGATTCTGGTGGAATTATTTTTTATCAACAGGTGTCAGTCATGTGATTGTTGATGAGGTACATGAACGAGATATAAACACAGATTTCCTGCTGATTCTTTTGAAAGAGTTACTTGACGAGAACCAGCTGTTGAAGGTCATTGTAATGAGTGCAACAGTAAATTCAGAAAGATTTTCTCAGTATTTTCAAGGGTGGGTATACATGTATTACAATGTATATTTTAGAGTTGCGAGGACAGACAGTTTGAACCGTCACTCTTGATCTCAATGTCATGTTCAAATGTGCAAAATATATGGAATATAGTTCAACCTTTCCTTATGGAAATGTCCATGAAATTTAATACCATCTCCTCTATTGCTCTCAAAGATACCAAACTTCGTACAAAAATTAAATTACAAAAAAAAAAACCAAACTTCGTACAATCCTAGCCTGCACCACAGAACTGAGGGAACTAACCTTCTGGTTACAGCGCCAAAATCCTTGTTCTGGGCCACCACCTGTGTACCAGGATTTGAGTAATGCACCTTGATTGGCATGTTAAAAATTCTATTGTCAATTTGCCAATCAGATTGAAGGCAAATTCGAAACACATTTCTAGTAATTTGTACAGTCCGTTGGGGGCGCAGAACAAGGAAATTGGCACTGCTTTGCAGATGTTACTAACTGGGGTTAGATTTTATGTGCGACACAGGCTATACAGTCCCAATGATGTACCTCCATATTATGGACACCTTTTGTAGACTTTTGACTCTTTCTCTTTAGTGTCTGTGCGAGAGAGGTTGTACAGAAGTCTTTTGACAGTGTTTACCTGTTTGTTTTGATTGTACAGATGTCCCAGTCTAAACATTCCAGGATTTACACACTCAGTTACAGAGTATTTCCTGCCAGATGTTCATAAAATGTTGGGTGGTCGTGGAATGAGCTCAATGCCTAGCCCACCACAGAGCAAACGATTCAAACCAAACAACAGTTCTGCAAAGGTTTTTCATCCGTTTTGTTTCTTTCCCACGTATTATTCAACCTTTTTAATACAGTGTAGATACATTATTATCAAAATGGTTGTGACTGTGTTTACACCCAATGAAATGTCTGCATGTTTCACGTTTCTGTCATGAAGCAATACAACCATTTAAAATAAATTTATCACAGTCTTTAAGATTTTTGATTACAAAAACCTGTTAAATTTTTACCAGGCTTTCTGTTGTCACGAATCATACAGTTTTTCAATACTAATAATATTGTACTGCATTGCCACCCCTCATTATTGATTTTGTAGTACTATCACTTTGCTTACCATTGTGTTGCATGTATATGATACAGGTCAAATTTGATTTCAGGTTAATTTTCATGTAACCTCTATTTTGAGTTGTTTGTCAATTTTCTTCATCCCTTAGCCCTAGGAGATAAAGGAAATGGAGAATCAACCTAGGTGAAATGTTTTTAACCTGAAATCAATTTGCCCTGTAATTATATCACTGTCTTATAGTTGCATGTTCCAATCTTCTCATGTCCCTTTTTTCCTTGCTTAATAATTATGCAAGAGAATGAAAGTTGTACAGTGGCAAAAGCCATAAGAAAATCTAAAAACAATAGTTTTAATAGCAAAACAACAACCCTGTGTGTGCATCACACTTATTGGTACATTTTTTTGCCATCAGTGAATCACTGCATCTCCCTTTTCCTCGAGTATTAAACTTGAGGAGAGTTCGCATACAATAAATATTGATAAATTATGCAAGTCAGAACAATAATACAACTAAGATTGAGAGAACATGAATGTACTCTCTAAGTGATGTTTTTGCTGCCTTCGCTGTTATGGTATCTTAACCTTCTGACTTCTCTTTGAATGCGCTATCTGTAGATCCCATCCTGTCCACATCTGCACCTGTCTAGTTTTTTTGAGCTGGCCTTAGTTGTTCAAAAACTGGAAAATGCTATCTATTGGATAAATCTCTACCAGTGGATAATGCAATAATTATTGGTATCCCTAATTCATATCCACTGGATAGTGATTTATGCATTGAATAGTGCTATCCAGAATTTGAACAACCGGGCTCTGAAGGTTACTTCTGATTTTGTCTTATACTAGGGGGTCTCTTGCCCCCTTCTCCCTCCCCCCCTCCTCAAACTGTCAATTTAACAGTGTTTTATCTCAACACCCCAGCCCAGGACTTATGACAACTCTTGCCAGGGTGCATAAACAGCAGGCTTTCCATTATCAAGGTACTATTAATCACCTGGCTACCTCACAGTCTATTCTCTAGTTGAAAATTAGGCAACTTATTATTAGCAGGGAATACTTTGGCATTGAATTATTTTTTTCAGTATTTTTTCGAAACGAAAGTTGACAGGATTTTTCTTTTTATTCTTTTAATCACGATTGAGAGTGAGAGAGATTTTAAATATTCACTGTAAATTATGTTAGGAAAATAAATCAGAATCAATTTGCTTACAATAAATTGTTGTTGTTATTTTAAAAATTTCTTTCTTCCTATTTTCAGAGGTTTGTAGTCAGAACATTCAGATTATTGTTTTGTTACTTTTCATTAAGTTGGAATATTTCTGGAGCTGGGGTGTTGATTGTATTTCCAAGTATAAATATTAAAGCTTATCTTCAACACTTTTTTGATATTGAAAGATAAAACAAAAATGTCAATCTGTTAAGTAACTGCTGTTAACAGAACTTATAGTTGTGATTTTCCCACCAAATTCACAGCCGGTAAGTAGCTATCAAACATATTTACTTCCTAACAGGATCAAAATGATATTGAAAGTCCCGAGGCAGATGCTGAGCTTATCAGTGAAGTAATTCTACATGTCTGCAGGATTACCAGGAGGTAAGAGTTATTATAAAATTATAAACTAATTACCCAGGGGCAGACCTAGGGGGAGGGTGCAGGGGGTGTGCAACCCCTCTCCCCATGAGATGACCTGTGGCTTTCTTATACAACTTGTATTCTGTATTAAAATGTGTTTACATCACCAGTCAGTTATGCCATTTCTTAGTGTTGCACCCCCTCCTAAGAGAAATCATGTATCCACCCTGTAACTATAGTAGAACCTACATGTGTGATCACCTGTCGCAAGCGATCAATTCCTTTAAGAGAATGAAGATCCAAAACACAAAATTTCCCTAAAGATGGCACTTGTCATAAGCGATGGTAGGCATTTTTCTTGAATAATGTTCTGATAATTTTCCAGTATTTAAGGAACCACCTTTGCAAATCTCTAGACTAACAGAACCTTTAAATGAGATTATTTGTAGCGATTTATATAGTACCAGGTGCAAAGGACATGTTAACCATAGTTTTTAGGTCCTTTCCATATTGGCGCAATGCCAAGATGTCTAGGTGGATTGCATCAAGTAAGGACTGTGACACACGATCTGCGGGAATCAAACAAACTTATTGCTCCCTCTGTTAAGACAACAACTCACGGTTTACGTTTATTTAGATACGCATCTAGACTGTGAGCAGTTTCTCTTTTTCTTCAGATTTAGTAAGGGGAGTGCACGCAGGTGCTAGCTGTTAAGCTGTTGTCTGATGTGTGTTGTTTGATTTCAGACATCAGATGTCTTATGTCTTGGGTCAAATGTCTGATGTCACACGTCTGATATCCGGTGTCTTCTGTTTGTTGTCTGATGTTAGATGTCTGATGTTTGTTCTCAGACATCTGATGTCTGATGTTTATTTTCTGATTGCAGACACCTGATTTCTGATGGTTGTTGTTTAATGTGAGACGTCTGATGTTAGACGTCTTATGTCAGATGTCTGATGTCACCCGTCTGATATCTGATGTCTTGTGTCTGTTGTCTGATGTCAGACATCCGATGTTTGTTTGTTGTCAGACGTCCGATGTTTGTTTGATGTCAAATGTCTGACATCAGACAACAAATGTCACATCTGATGTAACACATCTGATGTCAGACATCTAATATTACACATCTGTTGTCTAATGTCAGACGTCTGATGTCAGACATCTGATATTAGACATCTGATTATTTGTTGTTGGATGTCCAATGTCTAATGTCAGACGCCTGGTGTGAGATGTCTGATGTTTGTTGTCTGACGTCTGATGTCAGACATCTGATTTCTGATATGCGTTGTTTGATGTCAAACATCAGTCTGATGTCACACGTCTGATATCAGATGTCTTATGTCAGACATCTGATGTCACTCTTCTGATATCTGTTGTCTTGTGTTTGTTCTCTGATGTTTGTTGTCTGATGTCAGACAACTGATGTTTGTTGTCAGGCATCTGACATCAGACAACAACTATCAGAGGTCTGATGTTTGTTGTCAGACATCTGATGTCCGATGTCTGATGTCAGACATCTGATATTTGTTGTCTAATATCTGATGTCAGATGTCTGTTTTCTCATGCCTCTAATATCAGACATCTGTTGTCTGATGTCAGACATCTGAGGTCAGACATCAGATCTCTAACGTCTGATGTCTCATATCAGACACTCGATGTGAGACGTCTGATGTTTGTTGTCTGTCTGATGTCAGACGTCTAATTTAAGACGTCTAATGTCAGACGCCTGTTGTCTAATGTCAGACGTGTATTGTTTATTATCTGGTTTCCGATGTCAGAGATCTGATGGCAGACCTCTAATATCAGACGTCTGCTGTCTGATGTCAGACATCTAATATCAGACATCTCATTATTTGTTGTCGGATGTCTAATGTCTGATGTCAGACGTCTGATTTCAGACTTCTCATATGATTTCTCTTTTGTCTTGTGTCAGCTGTCTGATATGAGACGTCTGATCTCAGGTGTTTGATATGAGACGTTTGATGTCAGGTTCTGTTATCAGACGTCTGATGTCAGGTGTCTGATTTCAGAAGTTTGTTGTCAGACGTCTGATTTCAGGTGTTTCATGTTAGACGTTTGATGTCAGGTTCTGTTATCAGACGTCTGATGTCAGGTGTCTGTTGTCAGACGTCTGATTTCAGATGCCTGATGTCAGACATCTGATATCAGGTGTCTGATTTCAGACGTCTGTTGTGAGACGTCTGATTTCAGGTGTTTGATATCAGACGTCTGGTGTCAGGTTCTGTTATCAGATGTCTGTTCTCAGACGTCTGTTTTCAGTTGTCTTATATCAGATGTCTGATGTCAGGTGTCTGTTGTCAGACGACGGATTTCAGGTGTTTGATATCAGACATCTGATGTCAGGTTCTGTTATCAGATGTCTGATGTCAGGTGTCTGTTGTCAGACGTCTGATTTCAGGTGTCTGGTATCAGATGTCTGATCTCAGGTGTCTGATATCAGACTTCTGATGTCAGGTGTCTGTTGTCAGATGTCTGATTTCAGATGTCTGATGTCAGACATGTGATTTCAGGTGTCTTATTTCAGACGTCTGATTTCAGGTGTGTGGTATCAGACATCTGATCTCAGGTGTCTGATATCAGACGTCTGCTGTGAGGTGTCTGTTGTCAGACGTCTGATTTCAGATGTTTGATGTCAGACATCTGATTTCAGGTGTCTTATTTCAGACGTCTGATTTCCGGTGTTTGATATCAGATGTTTGATGTCAGGTGTCTGATTTCAGACATCTCTTGTCAGACGTCTGATTTCAAGTGTTTGATATAAGACGTCTGATGTCAGGTTCTGTTATCAGATGTCTGATGTCAGATGTCTGATTTTAGGTGTCTGATTTTGGACGTCTGGTTTCAGGTGTTTCATATCAGACGTCTGATCTCAAGTGTCCGTTTTTAGACATCTGTTGCAGTTGTCTGATTTCAGGTGTTTGATATCAGAGGTCTGATGTCAGGTTCTGTTCTCAGACGTCTGATTTCAGGTGTCTGATTTCAGATGTCTGTTGTCAGGTGACTGTTCTCAGACATCTGATGTCAGGTTCTGTTATCAGACATCTGATGTCGGGTGTCTCTTGTCAGACGTCTGCTTTCAGGTGTCTGATTTCAGATGTCTGTTGTCAGACGTCTAATTTCATGTGTTTGATATCAGACGTCTGATGTCAGGTTCTGTCATCAGACGTCTGATGTCAGGTGTCTGATGTTTGTTGTTTGATGTCTGACCTCTCATGTCAGATGTCTTGTCAGACGTCTGATGTCACTCATCGGGTGTCTGATGTTTTTTGTCCGATGTCTGATGTTTGTTGTTTGTTGTCAGACGTGTGATGTCCGATGTCTGATGTCAGACGCCTGATGTCAGAAGCCTCTTGCGCCTCCAGTCACGCACGTGTTGCTTTGCGTGCCTCGCGCGTTTTGTTCGACGTACTAAGAAAAAGAGAGACTGCTCTTAGTCTAGTATGCATCTACAACAATGTGGAATCAAATCAATCAATCAAAGACTTTGTTTAACTTCGAATTTGTTGATAGCAAAATTGCAAATATCTGCGAAGGAAATAAATCTATAAAATAATGAAAGTACATCAATATGTGAAATAAATAGATACATAAAAATTACATAAGATTAGAATTAAATATTATAGATAAAAAAGGTGTCTGTATGTACAGTTGATTTGCGAATTTAACATTGGTCACAAAAAGAACAGCGTTCATTATCCAGTTGAACAGTCTTTAGTGCAATTACGGACATTATCCGGCAATATGTTCCATAGTTTGCTGGCATGATATCGAAACGAATGAAGACCATAATTTGTTGTATTTGCACGTGGAATAACTAGTCTGCGTTTGAGTCGTAAACTGATGCTGGTTTGGCGCTCGGTAAAAGATCAGAAAAAACGATATGCTAATATGAGCATATTGTTTATTCGGCGTGCTCTCAGACTAGGCTGATTAATTTCTTGTAATAATTTTTCATACGAATTGTTAAAGTCGTTAAAAACGAAACGAAGGATGGATTCATTGAGTTTCTCAATTATATCAGCATTTCACTCGCCACAATGGAACCAGACGGTGGAATAGTAGATCAAATGTGGGAGAAAATAAGCCAGACACAGCCTCTTCTTGGTATGAGTACGGATGAGGTGTTTATAACATTTCAGAACTTGCAACTTGCGGCTAACCTTCCCTACGGTCTCCTTAATATGAATGTTGAAATTAAGATTTTTATCGATACTGACACAAAAGAAGTTGCATGATGCCGTCATTTTACTACTACGACCAGAATCCTTCGGGTTTTTCTTTCTTGTGCAAATTATCGCCTTTGTTATTTAAACCTCGCTGGGATTACCAAATTTAAATGTGAAAGGAAAAACGAAAAGAATTCTGGTCGTAGTAGTAAAATGACGCTATCGGGCAAATGGCCTATTAGTGTAGCCTTACGACATATTAAAGGAGAAAAAGGCTCATTTCCGGTTGGCGTGCGTCACCCAAAAACGGCGCTGCGTAAACTCTTTATTATATACACATGAACAGTGGCGGATCCAGGGGAGGGGCTGGGCCCCCTCTTACTTTTAGACCAAACTAAGGCCCAAAGAGCCCAAAAAACGTTTTTGGAGACCGCCCCAACTTATCTAAGGGTCTGGATGACTGCCCTCCCCCCCTGTATCTCAAGGTCTGCATCCGGCACTGCATGAATGTTCCAGACAATCGTGATGGAGGCTCTTGAAATTTACTGACTTTCTTAACACATGGTCTGCGTTTCAGGGAGCTATTTTATGCTTTCTATCTGGCTGGGATGAAATCACTTTGGTCCATGACATTTTGGCATCCAAAATAAGTGATTCTTGTGTAAGTGAGTCGCTTTTTGGTCTGGATTTTTAATCTGTTAGTCTCATAAAGATATCTTTATAATTTACCCTTGCACCTTTTTGCAGAAATCTCAGTTTCTTGTTTTACCACTTCATTCCATGCTACCGATGTTTAACCAGAGAACTGTGTTTGAAAGGTTAGATTTTTTTACATTTTCATTGAAATTACACCCAACACCCACAGTGCCCTCTGTCTGATAGTGTAGTTTCTGTTTCAATTAACTGTTTTGATGAACTTTTTTACACAGGCCACCCGTTGGAGTGCGCAAGATTGTGTTAGCCACCAATATTGCAGAGACATCCATAACCATTGATGATGTCGTCTATGTGATAAACGCTGGCAATGAAAAAGAACAGATGTATGATGCAGCTAACAAGGTGTGACCTGCCATAATCGCCCATGTGGAGCCTCGTCCTTTTTATCACTTTTGACGTCGTCAATTTTAACACTCATAGACAACTTTTGCACCTGATATGACCCTTCCATGTACCTCTGCCAGGAAGAGGGGGCAAGATCTTTCGAACCCTACCTGAGTGAGCTCGATTCATTTAAGCAGACCACGGAAAAATGCACTTGCTTATAAATAATATCACGATCCTCGTGGTTTTCACGGAAACGTTTCCGTCGAAATGAAGCTCATTAAATGTCCAGCCAAAGGAGAAAAAACAGGAAAGAAAAGGGAAAGAAGAGGGGAGGGTACTAAGCGAAAAGTTAGTTGAGCGGGCAGAACAACTTCATTTGTTCCGAAATTATGTCTTCTTCGAATGCCCTAACTGTTTCTTGGCATCAGGAACAAAGGGACTTATAATCGTTTTGCGCGGTCTTGGTTCTATTTTTCCAGATAGTGACCAGAAGATGGGTCGTCGGTAATTTCAGCGTACAGATTTTAAAATTTATGGAATAATCTAAAAATTATCACGTAAAACCGTTATAGGAGGCTATACAATGCGTAGGGAAGCGAAAAGGAGCCTTTTAATGCTTATATTAATAAAGTCCTTGTAGATACACAGGCTAACCAAGCTGTTGTTTTGGTTAGGTGTCCTGTTTGGTAACAAATTGGACATCCCAAGCTAGTGTAGTTCAGCGGCGTGGTAGAGCTGGTAGATGCAAGCCAGGATTTTGCTTTAATCTCTTCTCCAAGGAACAGTTTCAAAACATGAGTAAGTTATTTTGGGGAGTAAGGGTGGCGCAGGGGTGAGAGCACTCGCCTCCCACAAATGTAGCCTGGGTTCAAATCCCAGCGTTGACGCCATATGTGGGTTGAGTTTGTTGTTGGTTCTCTCCTTTGCTCCGAGAAGTTTTTCTCTTGTAATCCGCTTTTCTCCTCTCCTCAAAAACCAAGATTTCCGAATTGCAATTCAATCAGGAATCAGGTGTACGAAGAACCAGTTAGTGGATGTGCTAGACCCTAAATCGTTATTTATTTTATTATTTATCTAATTTGTAACAACTTGCTGCTTCAAGTTTGTCTGTCCTATGATTTTTGTTCTTTTGGTTCAATTTTTTGAGTCAAAAGGCGGTTTGCCCTGGAAGTAATAAGTTGAGTTGCGAATTTGTGTTTTTACAGGCCCCTACCAATCCGCTGAAATGCAGAGAATTTCACTGGAAGAAATTGTCTTACAAACAAAGGTAAATAGTAGCAATCATATATTGGCTTTCAATAATGTTATAGTTTTTGTAGTAGTAAACTGAAGTTCAGTTTAATAAAAGGCTTTTATTTGAATGTTCACACTCTAACCACCTCGCTGATCTGTACAAACTACAGGAAAGTACTTATCAGTAAGCTTTCACATTTTAGGATTTCATACACAGGACTCAAAAGTTACAACCACTGACCTTGTTTAGCGTGATAAACACTACTACAGGAAAGTACTGCTCAGTTGCTTTCATTTGAATGGTCACACTTAAGGATTTCATCCACAGAGTCAAAAGTTAGAACCACCTTATACAGCATAATAAACAGTACCACGGGAAAGTACTGCTTAGTAGCTTTCATTTGAATGGTCACATATCAGGATTCGTCGACTAGCCTGCGAAAACAGGGCTACTTTTGCAGGCTATTCGTCCATAGGCTGGCTCATAAACTAGACACACCTTGTACAACATAATAAACAGTACCACAAGAAAGTACTGCTCAGTAGCTTTCATTTGAATGGTCACACTTCAGGATTCGTCGACTAGCTATTCGTCCACAGGCTCATAAACTAGACACACCTTGTACAACATAATAAACAGTACCACAAGAAAGTACTGCTCAATAGCTTTCCTTTGAATGGTCACACTTTCAGATTTCATTCACAGACTCAGAAATTAGAACCACCTTGTACAGTTTAATAAGCAATACCACAGGAAAACTTTTATTCAAATGATTACACTTACGTGTTTTACGCATACCTTCAAAAGTTGTGATTTTATCAAAGCTGGCAATCTGTACGGCACAGGAATCAAATTTTGATTCCTCAAATCAAAGAGTTTTTGTTTTCTGTGAAAACTCAGTGAACTAGATTTTTCACTTAATTGCTGCCGTGTTTTTTTTTTAATACGCTTGCAGATTCAGTGTTCAGATCCGTCATGTAAAGTGCAGGAGTTTCTGTCTAAAGCTCTGGACCCCCCATCTCCGACCAATGGTAATAAAATCAAAGAGATCATGATCGATCATATTTACATGTATTTTGCGCAATATAAATATTAAATTATTATTATTATTAATAACAACTACTAGAAAGTGCTTTGTTTCGCTATAGTGAACGCATTATCACTAGCCTTCGCCAGGCTCTTGGTCAGTGTAAACGAGTAAAAATAGCGGGCAAGTAGTGAAAATTAAAGCGAAAAACGGAGGGAAGAGAGAAGGGAACAGCCTGTAAGCATCTGTACAAATACCACAGTCCTCTCCCCCCTCCACGTCCCCGCCCACTTCCAGAAAATCCTTTTCTCGTGTCAAAATGACAGATGTTTAATTGTCAAAATGTGGGTTTTAGGAGGGTTTCACAGGCTCGCCACATTTTTTTGTTCGTCTCTGAGTGCGCGAAGCCAAGCGACCGACGTGGTTGACGTTAACTGTCAAAATTGACCAATCATAGGGTATACCAGGAGCTGGTATTCTGGAATGAAGTATTGAAAACAACGCTTACAGGCTCCCCCTATCCATCTCTCCCCAGCTCCACCGCAACTCTTCTTGTTGTCTTGGAGCCTGAAACAGGCCACATTATCACTAATAAGACCTGTCGCTCACTGGGTAATGTCCGACGGAAACTTGTCCCTTGTCCGATAGAATCCTTCCCTCTGTTCGGCCTTATGATCGGTCAGATAAAATACCGTAAACTCCCGCTAATAATCTCCCCCACTTATAACCTGCTTCCTCCCCCCTCAGTTAGAGGTCCATCTACCTGTAAACAAAAAATACATCTTATACTAAGCCCCCCCCGGATTTCAGTCCCCTCCAAATGTATTGAAATGAATTTGATTTATTATGAGGTTCTGAAGCTTAAAACACCAGTAAATGCAAAACGTGTTTTGATCAGCACTGCTCCAGCTCTATTCCCGTTATAACCTCCCTCGGATATAAGCACTCCTAAAACCCCTTACGAAGATGTTTAAGCCGTGGGTTTATAAGTGGCCATTTACGGTACCCAAGACTATCAAGCTATGAAGCTGTAGATTTGCATGTTCTTAAAGTAATTAAATGTCAATGAAATGTTTTCCCAGCAACCTTCCTGGTTTGTTCGACTAAAACGGTGATCTGGTGGGGACAAATGTCCTCTTCCTTTAGAGAAAAATTATTTGCAGTCGCACTAATGATCTGCTTTGTTTGTTTGGTTTGTAGTTCAGAGTGCAATATCAGAACTACAGGAGATTGGAGCAATGGATAATCAGGTATCTATGCCTGTAACCTCTTACTTTTAACCCTGCTTTTAACCATAAATATCGCTTCTCCTTTACATTTGACGTTTCCTGCTAGCAGAGGCCTCTTTTCCCTGGTATGCGGCGGGCTCTTTTCCTCCTGCCCGCCGGATACCAGGAAAAAGAGGCTTCTCCTAGAAGGAAACATTTGAGGTAAAACCTTGTCGAAAGAATCAACAAGCCCATGGAAACAAAGTTTCCTCAAAGACCTCGTAGTCAGAGAAAATCGTAGCATTTTACATTCGTGGGTTCGCTGAAGCAAGGACTTGCGAGGTTAAACGCCACTACCACATTTCCTATACTGCACCTTTCGTTATGTGCATTCTATTCATTCTTAGTGGGTGTCCAAACGAATGCTGGCTACATACATGCGACGCATGCGTAATAACAACCTGGAGATCAGGATTGTGGGCTCCTCTTGTCGCCCGCAGTAATTTTTTAACAGTAAGAACGATAATTGCCTTGTTTTCGTTTGTTTCTCAGGAAGATCTAACGGCCCTGGGAAAGTATCTTGCTTACTTACCAGTGGAACCAAGGATAGCGAAAATGATAATTTACGGCGCCATCTTCAGGTGTTTGGACCCCATATTGACAATAGCTGCAGGGCTCAGTTACAAGGATCCATTTGTGACACCGTTGAACTGCAGATTACAGGCTGATCAGGTACCTTAACTACAGTCAAACCTCCTTGATAGACATCGACCAGCTCCTCTTTTTTCTTAGTCCGTCGCGCAAAAACGCGCGAGACCCGAAAATGACCACGCGCGCGACTGAAGGCGCGAGACGGGAGAGGCACGAACTGCCGCCGCTCGCAGTCTACCTCCTCAATTTTCTCTTTAACAATATCACTGCATTATCAAGAGAAAAAGGTGTGAGAATTGACAAAGTGATCACCAAAGGAAAAGTAATTTGATCTTTTATCAAATTCTTCCAACTACTTCTTTAACGAAATGTATGCAGATCAGTCTGGAGAATTTGTACATTGATATTGGGGTAACTAAACTATTGTCTCTCTCCTCCGCAGAGGCCTCTTAATCTTTGTGTCGTAGGGAGGCTGGGGAGAGGGAAAAAGAACGCGCGCGCGCCGGTGACTACCCAGATCTGGATGGTGAAACATCACCAGTATGAGTTTACTGTGCAGGGCCGGGTTGTTCAAAGCTGGGTTACGATAACCCAGGGTTAGTGCGAAATTTGAATTCAGATATGAAAGCCTTAAAAGTGAATTCAGTTTAATTCTTTTTGTCAACAAGTTGATGATTGGATGAACTTAAAAATAGGAGAAAATTATCCGAGAAGATGCTTTTGAACGAAAGAAAAAGAAACCCGGGTTAAATTTAACCCTGGGTTAACGGCTAATCGGCCTTGGAACAACTGGGCGCTGGTTCCTCAGACGTCAGTCATTTTGATGGAAGACTGCTGGTTGCGTCGCAAAATGTCGGCTGTTTTCTTAGGCTTGGAAAACACCTCTCTAAAACGAACGCATTTCCCACTAGTGATTTTGTTACCTCTGCGTCCTGCGTCCCTGGCGCATAAAAATCCCCAAAGACGCAAATTAATCCATGGCATGCGTCCCGTAGGAGGTAAAGATCGATCGATCGATCAGAACATGTGTTTTTGTGGCAATATTCTGTTCGTGCAATTACTGTGGCAGTTATAATGGCTGTTGTTTAACGATGCATATTTCACTGAACATTTTTTGCGCTTTGAAATAGACGGACTATAATTTAATTTCAGTATACTGTAATACAGAGTTTTGGAGTCTTTCTTCAGATTAACTGTCTGGTTACCTAAACGCCAAAGCATTTTCAATTTTGGACTCGTTTTTTGAACCAGGACTCAATGGGTCGGTTATTTAAACGAAGTCTAGCTTAGACCGCGATTTAGCAAATCTTTGGACCCTCAGATCTCTTTCGTAGTGGGTTATTTTAAGAAGATAAATGCTTTACTACTCTACTGTATACGCTTTCATGAAACTGTCCACGATAAATCGTGTTTACATTAAAGCGTTTGGGAACTGAAAAATGACTGAGACCGTGGTTTTGTTAAATACTGGCTAAACTCCGTGTAAATAACTGGCCCAGGACACACCATCACTATTTGTAACAAACTCATTGATCTCCGGTTCCATTGATGCATTTTTTTAAATTATTTTGTCATTGTAGTCTCGGAAAGCCTTTACGCATGGTAGCAAGAGTGATCACGTGGCATTACTGAACGCTTACAATGGATGGACGGAAGCTTTGAACCATGCAAGGGCCAGAGAGTTTGTTGAACAGCGGTTTCTTCATTGGGGCACGCTCAACATGATAAGCGGTATGTAACAGTAATATGTAACAGTTAACTACAGTCCTGGTCAAAATGTTTGTGACACTGTGTTTCAGGTGAAGAAAATGCATTTCAAGTTGATCCCCCCCCGCGTTTTGTGAGTAAGTATTGCCCGTTTGCAGCAAATTCCATTTAAAAACACGTCAAAAAGGGGTTGTGTCCCAAAACCTTTTGGCCAGGATTGTACACACCCCACAACTCTTTGAAGCCCTGTACAGACGGACGCAGGGAGTTGTTGCGTCCGTTTGCACCTAGCAAGTTTGACCTGTTTTAAACTTTGCGTGCAACAACTACCAACAACACGCAACAACATGCAACAGGGTGTTCAAACGGACGCAACATGTAACATCCAACGATGTCTGTCATTTTGCTAACTAGTTGTGTGCAATTCGCGAGAGCTGATGCCGCCCCGCATCCTCACAGACCTTATATTTCCGCAGCTCTTTTTCTCGTTTGTATGTTGCTGGGTATGGTAATGTATGACAATGAGTTTGAAACAAAGGAAAATAAAATTTAAAATCTAAAATAAATATCAATTAATACACCAATTTTTCTCTTCTTGTTCTTAAAAAGTTAATTCAAATTTTTGTTGAAGTAATTATATTTAACAGAATTGCTATTTAAGAGGCAGTCTCCCTAAAAGCGGTCCACTCGATTTCGCGACAAAAAATACTTTTCCTTTATTTTTTGTCGGTGAAGAGGCTTTAGTAGGTGTATACTAAAATCGCTATTTTTGTTTTCAAATTCTTATTCTTAGCTCTGCTACAAGCCAAAAACGAATTGAGTCCGTCTCGGCTTCTCAGAGAGTGTTTCGAAGACTAAAATTGATGGATTTTGAAAAGCGCGTTGTAAACAACCGAATGCCCGCACAAAAAATCTGTTCGATTCAGTTTTTTTAGTTAACCTTCGATAGTTCACAGGCTAAATAAAAATATCTTTGATCAAAACATGTTCAAGTTACAGTGGTTCACAGAATACCTATTTTGCAGGCTTGATCGAAACCTTGAAAGTAAAGAAGATTTGAGGGAAAATATCTCAAAAGTTGCGGCCTAAATCTGGTTTAAAGATCATTTCAAAGTAAAGTTTTTAGCTTATTTTTTTGGTTTATAGGCTCAGACTTGCGGGTATCTTCTGGGATTACAACCAACAGTAGATTATAATCTGCCATTTTGCGTATTTGCATAATTACTGGCCGTGTCAGATGTCATGATTGTACAGGTTAAAAGTTCCATGAAATTGCCTCTTTTGACACTTGAATTCGTCTCCGGCCTCTAAAAGAAAGTAATCAAGCTTCTTTAAGTACTTTTGAATCGAAAGAGATATACTAGCAGGGATGGTCATGCATGTTACTGATCACCAAGATCAACTGGCGGGCGCCATCGTCTTGTAACTGTTGTAACTACTGCACTGAACAGTAAACAATGTTTTTAATAGAATTCTCCAGATCAGAAGTTGATCCAAGCTCTCTAAGTAATGAAAATAGATATCACTACCCCGGGATACAAAACATGCACAAGAAAGGCAACGTAGAATTTTAAGTTCTTTCCGCAATTTCAGAGTGAATTTCACCGCGGTGCATATAAAAGTCCATGAATTATTGTAATAATCAGGCTGTTTAAAAACGTTTGACGCACAACAAAAGCAATTAGTCATTTACCGTTTTATCTGTTCTCGGTAAATAAGACGCTTACCTTTACTTTAGATTCTTGATGGAAGAAGTCTATCCAGGCAGCTGAAGTTATGCAGTTTCGTTTCAAAAATCAAATCATAGCGTGATAGTGTCACGTAATGTTATGGTCACGTGGCTACGTAACCCGTCGGCGGCCAAAATCTTTGTGATAAACGAAATTTGTGTTTCTCTCCAGAAAAAAAAAGCCCTAATTGAATGAGTTTTTCCTCC